ACTCCTCCCCAAAGGGAACCCAGGACAGACCAGCATCCAAGCTGGTGAAGCAATTAGTCGTCTTGGGGTTACTAAGAAGAGTGTGGGTTAGGGGTTGATTACAGGACCAGGAAGGACTCAAAAGCTCTGCATCCCTGAAGACCCCACCTCAGCATGGGTGAGGATTCCTGGGACCTGCAGCCCTGGAACTTTCTGCAGGAGAGGCAGATCTACAGGGCAGGGAGAATTCTGAGCCCAGGCAGAATCTGCGGCCCAGCCAACTTCTTACTGCTTCCATAACCGTGATGAAGGGCTCTCCTGACTCTCAGCTTCTCCAGACCTGTGAAATTTGTTTACTTTCTAGATCTCATGGGTTTCCCCCTTTCCCCTTGAAGTTTCAGTTGGGAGGAAGTTAATATAAAGCATACCTCTCCCCACTCTGGGAGGAATGCACCTTTGAGGTCTCCTCTGAGTTAGGGGTTGGGGACAGGGCAAAGCGAAGATGGAGAAGTCCCAAAGGAACTTCAGTTTGGGAACCATTACTTCCTGGGGAGATAGATGTGAGCTCCACATAAAGCACATTGTTAGATAAAGTTCCCAGGGAAGACATTGCTCTCAGTGCACAGAACAAGGGGACCCCAGGGAAACTCTCATTTCTCTGAAGCTTTGCCCAGGAAACACTTGGTTCTCCTTTGGAAGGCCATTATGACCTTTGACCTTTGCGTCTATTGTGGTGGACAAGGTAAGCTGCGGCTGCTCTGCCTGGTTGGAGTGTGTTAGAAGAGTCTGAACAGCATGGGGGTGGGGGCTCTGAGGACAGTTCAAGACCCGCCATCAGAAGCATACCGCACAGCAGAGCATCTGAGGGAGGAGTCAGGGCCCACATGGCAGAGGTGGGCTTTGGTCTTTTATAGCTTGATGAGGGTGGGGGTGGTTTCGCAGCACAAGGCTACTTGCAGGCTCTTTGATTCCCAGGCAGGAGGCAGGGAAGGGGTGGGGAGCAAGCCACCAATACCCCCTTTGATGTACACTCACTTCCCAGGTGCCAGACCCTGACACTCAGAAGTCTGTTAGAGACTCACAGTGTTTTTAGTAGGGTGCCTGTGGAGGTCTGGGGAAGGGGACAGGCGGCTGGAGGTATTGCTGCCTGAGCTCATGATTGCCTGTAACTGCAGCTCCAGGACATCGGATGCTCTTTTCTGGCTTCTGTGGCGCCTGTACTCACATGTACACATTCTCCCTATCACACACACACACACACATCATACACATCACACATCACACACATACACACATCAGATGACCCAGATAACCCTGGGACTGTATCAGACACACCAACCCTCCTAAGTCTAGAGCCCTCCCCCGCATTCCTGACCTATGTGCACCAAGGGCAAAAACCCCCGGACTGTCTTTGGAGTTTTAGCACAGAATGGTCTGTACTTCTGGTATGGCCTGCTCAAATCCTGTCCGTCTGTTTATTCATCCGAACCTGTTCCTACCCCTTGCTTCCATGATCCTATGGTCCTGCAGATGGCCTCCATGGCCTCCACAGTCCCAGGCCCCGCATCTGCAGCTCCACTTGATGCTGAAGTATATCCAACCCTCAACTCTACAGCCCAGCTGTGCCTCCAGCTGCTCTCCAATGGGGTCCATCACCGAACCTCACATCACTCTCTCGGCATCATCCGTATCTACTCTCTGCCTCTGCCTCCAGTCGGGCTTCTTTGAAACCTGTAGGTAGGTGTATGGTGTGGGTTCACTCGGGTCCATGGGAAGAAGACACAGCGCACCTTAAGAATGTCTTCAGCCTTCCAGCTGCTCTGACTGAGACACCATCCCTTAGCCAGGGGCATTTTTATCGTTCTCCAAATTTACACTTAAGCAAGTTGATTTCCATATCCTCAAAACAACCTGACTGGGTCTCCAGAGGAACAATGCCAGATTGGAAATATTCGATCAAGGAATATCACAGTTTGCAGGATTTTTCCAAAGCAAGTTTTACATAGGCTTTGTACCCTTGGGAAAAACCCTCAGACAAGATTCACATGGAGGGCAACAGGAGAGACAAAAGATGAATTAAGGCTAGGCGCTAGCACTCTGGAGCCAGGCCAGGTGTAACTCAGTGGGAACTCTCCCATCATAAACCCTTATGCTCCGCTGTGGCCTAGCCCCTTGGAAGTCATTCTAAACTACACACGGACATATAGATGGATACATATGCACATATAGATATATTTAAGGTGTGATGTATAACGTGTGATCTGGGAGTTAATGTTACTAATTAAGATCACAATGAAAGAGCCTGGTCTGGAGAGGTGGTTCAGTGGTTATGAGAGCTGGCCCCTCAATCATTAAGACCTGAGTTCGGATCCCAGCTCCCCTATCAGGTGGCTCACGAACTCCAGCACCAAGGGATCCAACACCCTCTTCTGGCCTCCACAGGCTGCAGCACACACATGTGTGCTGGACATAAACCCACAGACACATAAATGAAAAACATTCTTAATTAGTTGGTAAAATGAAAGAAGCCGTGTTTTTCAACCTCCGCAATCCTTTTGGACATGAGCCGGACACTGCTTCCTGTCGGTCATTCAAAAAGGTTTCTGTCAGGACTGTGCTCTATGACTGTGACCTCAGCTTTGGAGTTACTTGGGGGCTGGAGTGGGTAAGTGGGGGCATCTGTCTGTTGTAGAGGCCTCTCAAGATGCAGAGGTGCAGTGTGTCTGAAGGGTGCACCACCCAGCCCTTCCACTTCTGCCCAGAGTCCTAGGCTCCCTTGTTCCCAGTGTCCTTGAAAACACAGGCTTTTGCCTCTATGAGGAGTGGAATTTTTCTCTCTGCTTCTGCATTGGTTCCTCTTCCCCAGACAATTTGCCACCTGACTGGAAGACTCTGCCGTGAGGCTCCAGAGCTCCCAGGGTCACCTGAGTGTCCTTGGGGCTTTAGCTCAGTGTCGTCGTCTCTGGTCATTGCTTCTGACTCTTCAGGACACTGTCTCACTGTAGACTGCGGAGTCTGGGAGGGGGAGGTCAGTCACAAGGCGCCATGATTCAGCAAAGGAGGTGGCTGGTTTATGTGGTCCTGTGGATCCCAGGCAGACAGGCATATGGGCTGTTACCAACAGGTATCACATTGACTTCTCCCAGCGCAGCAGGCTAGCTGAGAGATGGATGTTTTCTTCTGTGCCCTCCTATGCTGGGTATGGGGATCTGAAGGAAGAATTTCATTAAGTGGAACCTCTATTTCTTTTCTTAAAACAAAATAAACTTGTGATTTGGAGGTGGCCTCCTCCCTCCAGCTCGTGTGTTCAACACTCTGCCCTCAGCTGCTGGGGCTGTTTGGGAAGGTTGTGGAAGCTTTAGAGCAGTGGTTCCCAACCTTCCTAATGTTGTGAGCCTTTAATATGGTTCCTCATGTTGTGGTGACCCCCAACCATACAGTTATTTCGTTACCACTTCATAACTGTAATTTTGCTGCTGTTACGAACTGTGATGTAAATATCTGATATGCAGGTGCTCTTAGGTGACCCCTGTAAAAGGGATATTGACCCCTCAAAGGGGTCAAGACCCATAGGTTGAGAATCTCTGCTTTAGAGGGTTGGCATCTCACTGGAGGAAATGGGTCACTGGGGGTGGGCCTTGAGGTTTTCTAGCCTGGTCCCAGTTCCTGTCTGCTCTCTGCTTCCTGACTAGGGTCCTAATGTGGACCGCATCCTCACACTCCTGCTGTCGCTCGCTTTCACCGTGATGGACTGATCCCTCCCTTCTTAACCATGAGGCAAAAGAAACCTTGGTGATAGACAGCGGGGGGGGGGGGGGGGGAACGGGGGGACGGGGGGACGGGGACGGGGACGGGACGGACGGACGATGGGACACGACACGATGACTGTTTCCTAGCCTCTGTGTCTGTCCAGTCTGCTGCTGTAACAAGTAGCTGAGACAAGCTGGACACCATGGCACACTGCAATCCCAGCACGTGAAAGGCTAAGGCAGGAGGATCCCCATGAGTTTGAGGCCAGCCTGGGCCACGGAGTGAGACCCTGTCTTGAATAAGACAAACCCTAGTTTGTGAGACAGGGTCTCTTGCTGGGCCCCGGGGCTCACTCACTCAGCTAGACTGGCTGCCACTCAGCCCCAGGACCCTCTTCTCCACCTCTCTAGTATTAAGGTGTGCCACCATGTCTGGGCTTTACACACATCCTGGGGGTCAAATGAATAGACCAGGGTGTATATTCACTGCAGAGTCTCACACACTATCACACGAGTGTGTCTCAGAATGGAAATTTTGTACACCAGAAGGCAAGTTGCAAAATGATGTGCTCTGTAGGATGCAAAGCACAGAAAACCACACAGCGCCGTGAGGTGTGGGTTATGCACAGGAATATGACAGCAGGAAATTCTAAAGGCACCCCTGAGTGATGGTGATTGGGCTAAACACGTAAGATAAACTGAAGAAGTGAGGCATCTGGGAGACACTCAGCTTTGCCTCACCTCACACCTCCTTCTGGACCTCATTCAGTACATTTTGATGATTCTCTGCCTGCTTTGAGGTAGAGATAGAGTACGTTCTTGTTGCTACTTTTGGAGTAGAAATCTTCCTACTACATTTTAATAAACTCCTGAAAATATGCTATTAATATTGAGGGATATAAGAATGTGAAAAATGGGGTGCCGATTACCTAAATTACCTTCTCACAGCTTGGTGAAAAAGGAGTTTCAAGTACTGTGATTGATTATGGGCATGCAAGCAAATATGGCTACACAGAAGATCCACTTGAAGTACATATTTATGATCCTGAAATTCCAACTGAGCCGGGCAATGGTGGTGCATGCCTTTAATCCCAGCACTCGGGAGGCAGAGGCAGCGAATCTTTGTGAGTTCGAGGCCAGCCTGGAAAGGCACAAAGCTACACAGAGAAACCCTGTCTTGAAAAACAAACAAACAAACAAACAAAAAAATTCCAACTGATGAGGTCAAACTCTCTAAGGACTTGTCAATTAACCCAAAAATTTTCTTTTCAGGATCTCCTGAAGATGTCTCTGGGCCCAGACAGCAGGAACTGATTTTAAGAACATGATGTCCACATTCTCAAGAGGTGGGGCGGGTTGTTTTTGGTCTTTCAATGGGTTATGGATAATTGTCATTGTTTAGTCATGGTTGATTACAAGTTGTTAATTGATAATGGTCAGGAAAAAAGCTAAATATAGGAGATTAGATTCTGGGATCTTGTTTAAAAAAAAAGAAAAAGAAGAAAGAGGATATAGATATGATAAGGTAAAAGGTAGATTATTGAATCTATTGTGAAAAAAAAGATACAGAAATGATGGATAAAGGGTAGATTATTGAATCTACTCTGAAAAAAACAAGAACATGGATATGATAAGATAAAAGGTAGATTATTGAATCTACTTTTAAAAAGCAGCTACTAGTTTAAAATATTTTATATTGGATTGGATTTTGTATACTGTATACAAATTATATATATTGATACAAATTTGAGATTGATTTTGTTAGAAATTACTGTACATATATTTCTAATTTTCAAGGTATTGTACCTATATAGTTCATTTAACAATGTAATGCAATTTTCTAGTCCTTGAAAGTTATTACCAACTATTTAGGATAATAAAGAAATGCAGGTTAGTAGTTAGTCATTACAATCAAACTTGTAGTCATGTTAGGTATGTTTTCAAGGTCACACAGATATATTTTAGATATACAAGTCATCTTCAAACACTTCAGAGATCTACAGAATATGGCATTTAAGATGTTTTAATAACATAGTTTTTTTTTCTGTTTTTAATGACAATGAGACTTGTCTGCTCCTGGCAGCATCAATCTACTTCAGAGAAACTCAATATGAAATTTACTTTCTTTGTGGCAAAAGTTAGCCATTGGGCAAGAAAGTGCCCTTGCCTCGACTGCTGACAGTATGCTGTCCAAATGGACAAGCAGGACACAAAAGAAAGGACTGCTGATCCTTGCTAAGACAAAGTAGGAAGGCCCTTCAGAAAATCCTACTTCACAGAAAAGTCTGTCAGGTATGCTAGGCCTGTAGGCTGAAGATGGATGCCCCAATGTTGCAGAGAAACCTTGGGTGACTGTCCAGGCAGCCAGCTGTTTCTGTCATTCCTCACATTTTTTGGAAGTCACTTGTTTGCACTTCCTGTTTTACTAGGTAATATTATTTCCTTCTAGGGTCTCTGAGGGAGTTGAAGATTAGATAGTTATAGTTTTCCTTGTTAACAAATTCAGAAAAGAAATGCACTAAACAGGTGTAAAGTGTTAAGTTTTAAAGACATCAAAAGATAGTTTTTAGTTGGCAATACAAGTTAAGATAAAAAGTGAATTAGGTACATTTTAGACTCACCAAGATCAAGTTAGGATAAAAAGTGAATTAGGTACATTTTAGACTTACCAAAATAGGCTAAATAATGGACTTTTTGTCTGAATCTGTCAAATGTTAATGGTCTAGACATTGTTAATGAATATAATTCTTGACTATATATATTTATCTTTATTGTACTTATTGTATGTAGTTTTTCTTATATTAGTTATAACTTTCTTTTATTATTTTAAACAAAAAAGGGGAAATTTGGTGTTATATTGTATACCCCAATATATTGTGTACCCTAATAAACTTATCTGGGGATCAGAAGACAGAGCCAGCCACTAGATTAGACAGAGGCCAGACAGTGGTGGCATACACCTTTAATCCCAGCACTTGGGAGGCAGAGATCCCTCTGGATCTCTGTGAGTTCAAGGCCACCCTGGGAACAGAGTCAGGTAGTGGTGACACACACCTTTAATCCCAGCACTTGAGATCTCATGTCTTTGCTTGGAAAGCACACGTGCCTTTAATCCCAGGAAGTGACATGGTTGGGTGGAGAACAGTATATAAATCGTGAGGAGACAGAAACTAAGCAGCAGTTCAACTGAGACCCTCAGGGGTGAGGACTCAGAGGCTTTCAGTCTGAGGATTCGTGGAAACAGAATAGGCTGAGGAGCTGGCGAGCTAAGTTGGCGGTGGCTTGTTCTATTTCTCTGATCTTTCAGCTTTCACCCCAATATCTGGCTCCGGGTTTTATTATTTATTTATTTATTTATTTATTTATTTATTTATTTATTTATTTTAATGAGACCGTTTAGCAATTTGTGTTACAATGTTACATTTTATTTCTTATCTTACGTGTGGGAGCACCTGTGTCACACGGAGGTCAGAGGACAGTCTGCTGCAGGCACTTCCCTTCTCCCATCACGTGGGTCCCAGGGATGGAACTTAGACTGCCAGACTCAGCAGCCTTTACCCACTGAGCATCCCCTCAGCCCTGCTAGAAGAATTTTAATATGCTTCTTCAGTACTTTAAAAAAATTATTATTTTTAATTTTATGTACATTGGTGTTTTCCTGCATGTATGTCTATGCGAGTGGCCATGTGGGTGCTGGGAATTGAACCCAGGTCCTCTGGAAGAGCAGCCAGTGCTCTTAACTGGGACATCTCTCCAGCCCCCTCTTCAGTACTTATAAAAACATATCACACCACTGTATTCTCTCACAATTAATTTATTTTCCCTTCCAAACAATTAGACACATTACTTTGGTGTCACCTGTTTCTAATCTTTGCTTCCATTGGTCAGGACTTCCAGAACGCAGTACAATACATTGTCAGCAGGTCAACCATTGTCTATTTCTAATTAAAATGAGGGTCTGGCACCATGAGTTGGTTGAGCTGGTGGAACACTGGTCTGTAGGACTGACAACCTGAGTTTCATTCCTGGATCCAGCAAGACAACAGAAAGAACTGACTCCTGAGAATTGTCCTCTGTGCTCTGTGGTATGTATGTGAACACCTGGACACACACACACACACACACACACACACACACACACACACACACACACTCACACGTACACTAAATAAATAGCTTAAAATGAGGATGTCTTTAAATATGGATGTCGCTCAAAGACAGGCGATGCTCTCCTTGCTGTCTCGGCTTTTTATTAACACTAGAACAATAGACAGTAAATGTTACAAAGTTACTTTTGGGCCTCAAGTGATTGTGTGTGTGTGTGTGTGTGTGTGTGTGTATGTGTGTGTGTGTGTTTGTAAGGTGTTTCTCAAAGTCTCAGACTTGCATCAATTCTCCTGTCTCAGCCTCCAGAGTGCTGGGATTGCAAGTGTGAGACGCCAAGCTTGAGGTTTTGGAGAAAGCTGGCTGAAGCGTTTGTGTTAGCGTAAGCCTTTAACATCTTTACATAGTTAGGAAGCCTGCCTTTGGGTGAGTCTCGCTTGGCTGTGGTGAGCTGGAATGAGGCTGTAAATACTTCATTCAACCACTAGAGGGCACTGTGGCCCCACGTTTGTTCCATTTTGACATCATTAAGTGGGCTTCCGTGTTCAAGCATAAACCCTTTAAATCTTTAAATAAATCTTTAAAAAAAGATCTTTAAATCTCAAAGCATTGCCCCCATTCAGCTTTCGGTGAGTAGTCTAACATAGGAGTGTGTCTAAAATTCTATTTTCTCCATTTGATTTGGGGAAAAAAAGTTTTTGACAGGTTCATACAAAAGAGTCACTGAAATCCAGGTACCATCACATCACATCTGTTCTATTTCCCCCGACCCTGCTTACTCTGTCTCTCTGGGACCCCCGTCTTCCTCCCCCTTCCTCCCCTTCTCCCTCCCTCCTCTTCCCCACCCCCATCTGCTGTGCTCACCCATGCGCGTAAGCAGAGGCCAGAGGAGTCATCTTCTCTCACTGAACCTGGTGCCTGCTGCTTTAGGTAAGTTAGCTGGCCGCAAAGCTCCTGGGATGCTCCTGTCTCCACCCCAGCACATGCCACCATGCCTGATCTTTCACATGGTGCTTGAGGTCAAGCTCATGTCCTCCTGTTTTGGTGCCGAGCACTTCCCCCACCGGGCCATCTCCCTAGCTCAACAGTTCTTCTAACTTGGGGATGGTAAGGGTTAGCGACACACCCATGGGTTCTGCTAGACTCTGCAGTCAGAACATCAGGATCCATGCACCAATTCTTTTTTTTTTTTTTTTTTTTTTGGTTTTTTGAGACAGGGTTTCCCTGTGTAGCTTTGCGCCTTTCCTGGAACTCACTTGGTAGCCCAGGCTGGCCTTGAACTCACAGAGATCCGCCTGGCTCTGCCTCCTGAGTGCTGGGATTAAAGGCGTGTGCCACCACCGCCCGGCTCATGCACCAATTCTTAACTGCTGTGAATCTCAGTTTCTCTACTAGTCAAAACCAGAACCAGCGGAAGTGCCATGTAGCCAGTTTTTATGAGAATTGAGTCCACACGAGAAAAGCACTGCATACAGTTCCTAGTCCAGGAATGATGTTCCTCTTTCGGCTTGGTCTGGACTCAGGTGTGCAGGCATGGACTCTTAGCCACTAGAGGAACAGAGCATGGCATGGCACTGCTTATGTGCCACTCCCCAGTGGTTGGGCCAATCCTATGCAGCCCGCCATGTGACTCAGGCTTGTACTCAGCCACAAGCTGGGTTCTACTTCTGGGTCCACTGATAAACTCAAGGAGCAAATGTCACTCTGAGGAAGGTGGGTCCAACCCACTCTGTTTGGCTCAAGTCCCTCCTGGCCAGGCAGGAGACGGTGTCCATAGCTGGTGGCTGTCCCCAGCTCTGTCAGGAGGGATAGGGTGGCAATCAAGACAAATGGAAGGGTGAGGAGTTGGCTCAGCTGGTCAAGTGTTTACTGTGAAAGAGTGATGACCTAAGCTCAGATTCCGCGGAAAGCCCTGGCGTGGTGATGTGAGCCTGAAATTCCAGTCCTGGGAAATGGAGGAAAGAGGACCCGGAAGGACTGGCCGGGTTGGTGAGGTCCATGTTCAGTGAGAAATCTCGTCTTAAAAGGTAAGGTAGAGAGCAAGGGAGGAGGATGCTGGACACCAGACTCTGACCTCCGTGTGTAACTGCACAAGTGCAAGCACACACCTCATGTGCACACACACAAATGTGCATATACACACACAAATGGAGACTAAGATTGGGCATAAGTTGCTGCTTTAGAGCTAACACAGTACTGTGGTTTCATGACTTGTTCTAGGTTCCTACTGTTGCTGTGATAAAATACCCCAATGAGAAGCAACCCAGGGAACCAAGGGTTTACTTTAGCTCACGCTTCCAGGTTATGGTCCATTGCTACAGGAAAATCACAGCTGCAGGAGCTTGACACAGCCGGGCAGTTACACCCACAGTCCAGAGCAGAGAACAAATGAACACACACGCTTGTTTGCTTGTCTGCCTGCTTGTGCACAGCTTCATTTCTCCATTCTTACACTGCCTAGGGAATGGTGCCACCCACAGTCGACTGGGGATTCCTACGTTAATTAATTTAGCTAATCAATCCCCCCAGACAGGCCCACAGACCAACTCACTCATCCAAACTCTCCTCCAAGATGACTCTGGGTTGTGTCAAGTCCTCAATGAAAGTTAAGCATTACAGTAGCATTTACAAGTTTTTACAAAAATTACTGGAAATATTGACTCTAGTATCTATTTCTTGTTTCTTTTGTAGATCTTGTGAGAACAGATTGCTCTGTCCAAGTGTCCCAAATCCCACGCTGGTGCGTATTCTATCACCTCATGGCCCCATTTGTTAACCTGGACTGGATCCTGGAGCCCCTCTTATTAAGCTGGTGGCTGAGCAGAAAGTGCAGGCCGTGGAGACTTGGACAGGTGGAGTCTGGCCCTTCTTAGCCTCTTATTTTGTTCTTTGCCTTTATAGACAGGTAGGTGTGTCTAGACTCCATGTGTCTATGGGCTTCAGGCCCACATCTACACTTCCTGAAACACCCTTGGAATTCTGAGTTTGTGCTCTTGTGAGGAACTGTGTCCGTGAATATTCAGGACAAACTCATGAAGGACCCCCCCAAATCCCACACCTCCAAAAAGAACCTTCTGCTTCTAAGGGGTGGGAACCCCTTCTTCTTTTTAAAACCTTGTAGATTTAAGAAACCACGAAAGATGTGCAAGAAGGGCCTTTGTCTTTAACATGCACGGACTCTGCAATACCCACCCCCAACTAGTAGATCTGAGGGGGTGATCCCCAACCAGCCCCCGGGGTGGGGTTAGGCAACCATGGAGCTGCCAGCTGGCCCTCATCCTTAGATTGTTGCTTCTGTGTGACCTGAGCGGCTGCTACAAAAGCAGCTGGCCCCAGGGTCACCGCATCACTTCTGCATAGTTCAGCCCCATTTCCAGCAATGAAAGTTCCATCAGAGCATGCGTCCTAGGAAGGGCATGTGGCTGGGGCCATCTGCGTGCCCTGCAGGCTTGCTCCTCCCCCTGGCCCCACACAAGCCTGGGCCTCACATCCATTCAGGCCCCGCTGTGTGCTGGCTGCTTGCCTAGCTGGCTAGGCCCATCTGCTCATACTGATTTTGTGACCCTGACCCCAGTCCAGTCCCTGCATGCCTCACACTGTGTGTGGGGCCCTCCTGAGGGTGACAGACAGGCACAAGGGAAGAAGGAAGCACAAATGAGCCCAGCGTGGGGGACTCTCAGTCGCTTGCTGCCCAAGCTTGTCTGGGACCCTTCCTGGGCCCCCACCTGCATCTGGTTGGGTCAGAACCCAGGGACTCACTTCTGAATCCTGTCTGCTCTATGTGGTTGTGAGAGGACTTTCCATCAGGCAGTCATGGGACATGCCCATGAGTTAGGGACCTTGGGTCTTTGCCTTGGAAGTAACTGTGCCTGTCTATTCCTTCCAGTGTTAGGTGAGGACATGGCCTGGGGCAGCCTATGACATAGCCAGTGTGCTCTCAGCTTGTGTTTTCTTTCTCTGTGTGTATTTGTGTGTGTATGGGTGCATGTGTGGATACATGGATGCACGCATGCCTCTGGAAGCCAGAGGACAAGTTTAGTGTTGTTCTTCAGGCACGCTGTGATTTCTTCTCCTCCTCCTCCCTCTTCTTCATGGAGTCTCCCACTGGCCTAGAACTAGCCAACTAGGCTAGACTGGTTGGCCAGTGTGCCCAGGGATCCTCTTGTTTCCAGTGCCTGCAGAATTGGGATTGTAAGCGGCTACCATTGT